CTTTTGTAGGTCTGGGGTCTTGCTAGTTTGTTTGCTTTCAGAAGCTGTAAGAAGAGGGAAATGGGTCTTCTCTTTCCCCATTTGGTTTTTGGCTCGCTCCTGTTCCCTTTTAGGGTGCTGGTGCTGTCAGAAGTCCTGGTCGAGTGTCATTGGTTGGTGGGTGTGTCCTCACTTACCCAGTCACCTGTGCCTATGGTTAGCGTTACCAGCTTTTTACTGCTCCTCCACACAACCTTTAGGCTCCGGGAAACTGGGGCCAGGGCTCCTCCAGTTGTCTGTCTTAAATTACCCATGAGGATACACGGAGCCTGCTGCTGCGGGCGGTAAAGAGAGAGATGGGGTGATACTCCTACAGCCCTGGACTTCTGACTGCCACGGGGAGATGGCCATCAACTTTGACTGGAGTTAGGGGCCAACCAGAGCTCAAGTGGGCTTTGGAGTGACTTCAGGCTTCCTCTGCTGATCTTTTTGTTTTTTGAGACAGTCTCTGTGTAGCAGTCCTGGCTGTCCTGGAATTCCCTCAGTAGACCAGGCTGGCCTCGAATTCAGAGATCTACCTGCCTCTGCCTCATGGGTGCTGGGATTAAAGGTGTGCACCATCCCCACCCTGCTGATCTGTTTTTTTGTTTGTTTGGTTGGTTGGTTTTTTTAAGGGAAGATCAGCTAGGATTTATATAATTACTGGCAGGGTAGCCCTGGTTTCCACCACTTGAATGTGTACCTTTCAGGGTACATATCCTCTGTGAAGTCTTCTGTAGTGAAGGGAGCCCTAAAGAACTGACAGAATCACCAGCGAGAGTGTCATGGTCCAAACTGGAGTTTCTTCTACTTTAAAACAAAACAAAAACCCAAAAAACAATTTTTAATTGTGTGTTCTATGTGGGTATGTACATGTGACTGTAGTACCTACAGAGGCCAGGAGAGGGCGATGGGTCCCACAGCAGGAGTTATAGCTCCATGTGACACCTGATGTGGGTCTTCTTGGGAACCAAACTCTGGTCCCTCTACAGGAGTAGCTCAACCGCTAAACCATCTTTTATCCCTCTTCTACTTTTTTGATGGGTAGCAGATGTACTCAGGAGATAAATAAGATGGCCTCTTTTGACAGGAGACACTCAGCATACCATTTCTACTTGTTTAAATGTGAATAGAATCTTTATCTCCTTGTGATAGTTCTGCCCTCCACTCATATGTTTCTTTTTTAAAATATTTATTTATTTATTATGTATATATACAGTATTCTCAGTACTCTGCCTGCAGGCCAGAAGAAGGCACCAGACCTCATTACAGATGGTTGTGAGCCACCATGTGGTTGCTGGGAATTGAACTCAGGACCTTTGGAAAAGCAGGCAATGATCTTAACCGCTGAGCCATCTCTCCAGCCCCCCATATGTTTCTTAATATTTGTTATTTAAACATATCATGCTGGTCATGGTGGTGCACGCCTTTGATCCCAGCACATGGGGCAGGTGAGTGGAAGGTGGGCAGATCTCTGAGTTTGAGGCAAGCCTAGTCTATGTAGTAAGTTTCAAGTTTGCCAGAACTACACAGTGAGACCCAGCC